CACTAGCTCTTCACCTTCTTTTAAAATTATTTGAAACCCTAGGCATTTTTTTCATGTATAGCTAAAATAATCATCTTGATTCATATTTTGTATCTTAAAGGTATAAAACAGGTAACATATTTGTTTAAACTGATTTGTGATGATAGAGAACCATAAGTGATCTGCTAGCATGTCAGTCTAGAATGGGTTCAGATCTCTGGCTGCCTGTGTGAACTTCGGCAAGCTGTGAAACCTTTCTAACCTCATTTCCCCATTTGTAAAGTAGGGATAAAAATTATGCCCACTTCATAGGGTTTTCCATACTGTGCAATAATGTGGAATAAATGCTTGCTGCTCTCAGGAGGTAAGTGCTGATTTAGTAAGTGCTTTTGCTGATTTTTACTACTTTTTGTATCCAATGTACAAATAAGGAAGAGAACGTAGTATTTTTGATAATAATAGGTGAGGTGAGCTAATGTACATGAAAGCACTTTACAAACCATAAAATGCTATATAAATGTAACTACACTTGTTATTTGCAATTGTAAGAACGGATTTAAATTTGGAAATCAAATGAACAGTTGGCTTATAAAAACAAAGTACTCTCTTGACTTCGTTATAGTTTTCTTAAACATGTATACCCTTTTTCTTTTAAATTCTTACATATTAGACCTATGTTTATTTTTAGTATCTCTTTGTATTTCTAAACACAAAAAGTTGCTAAAACACAAAAAAAGTTTTAAACTTGAGTTATAAAACTTCAAAACAGGTCTCTCTCCAGCAAATCAAACTGCCAAAGTTCTATGTTAAGGTTTCCTAAAACAGGACTTCAGGGACAACATGGTACAGCATAAACTTCATACTCAGGGAAACCTGAATTTCAAACACAACTAGACTACTTATTAAATTGGGTAAGTTACTTAACCTCTCTGTGCCTAAATTTCACTATCTGAAAAATCCCTAGTCCACAGATTGCTGTCAGTCAACAATACCTGTTAACCTGCCTAGTCAGTACCAGACACTTGTAGGTCCCAGGGATCAGCAGTGAATAAAGCAAAGCCCCTGATTTCACAGAGTTTACATCCTAGACAGGGAAGCTGAAAAATAAATGAACAAGATGCTTTCAAGTAATATGAGTGCTAAGAGGAAAATAAGATAGTACAATATGGTAAGGGGCAGGAGGAAGCTAGGACAATGCATATCTGGTGTTCTGGAACACCTCACTAAGCACTTCACTTTTGAGATGAGATTTGACAACAGGAAGCTTGCAAGCGACAATTTATACATGCAAATGCCCTAAAGTAAGGAGAAGAACCATGCAAACTAGAAACCCACCACCCACCTGTCAGCTTGTCACACTGTGGTGGTTTGCCTGTTGTTATGATGCTGGAAGCCACCAGTATTTCAAATACCAACAGAGTCACCCATGGTGAACAGGTTACAGGGGATCTTCCAGATTAAAACAGACTAGGAAGGAAAGCCTAGCAATCTACTTCCAAAAATTAGTCAATGAAAACTCTATGGCTTACAACAGAACATTGTCTGACTCTTGCTTTCAACATGCCATCAGGAGGGATCAATCGCTAGAGGAGGACATAATGTTTGGCAAAGTAGAGGGCCAGTGAGGGAGACCCTTGGTGAGATGGTCTGGCACAGTAGCCACAATGATGGACTCGAACATGCTGATGATCTTGAGGATGCCGCAGGACCGGCAATGTTTTATTCTGTCGTACGTGGGGTCTCCGTGAGTCAGAGCCGACTTGATGGCAGCTAACAACAACAACAGACAAAAAACACAGAAGGAAAAAGAGCTGGCGAGGAGGAGGGGTGAGAAGGGTAGTGGGAGAAGAGAGGAGAGGTAGCTGAAGCTCAGAAGGCAAAGGACTTTATAAGCCATGGAAGGAGTACCAATTCTATTTTAAGTACAATGGAGAGTTTTCAGCAAGGGAGTGATATGGTCTGATTTACATTTAAGGATCACTCTGGCTGTTATGCAGCAATAGACTGCAGTAGGACAGGTGTGCAAGTGGGGAGTCCAGTGAGGAGACTCTTGCAGTGATCCATATGAGATGATGGTGGATTTGGACAAAGGTGACACATTGGAGAAAGAAAAAAGACATATTTTTAGGTAATTGCTGTGGTCTTTCCCTCTTCCTGTAACTCTTTCCTTTCTTCCTGAACCATTCAGTTCTAAAACCTTTTGTGGGGCAGAGCAAGGTAAGGTCAGTACTGGGCAAGGAGTGAAAAGGAGTGGTGGTGGCCCACAGCAGAGCACTGGAGCCCAAGAAGGGGTGGAAGGCATCTGTGGGGGAGGGCTATCTGTTACGGAGAAGCAGAACTTGGGCAGAGTGAGGAGGGCATCCACACCAGGAAGATCTGTCACAGGGTGTTAAAGATCAAGCAGGGTGTGAAGAAATCCACACATGAATGACTCAGCATGAAGAGGAGAGGCCGAACAGTGTGAAGAGAGCATCCACATGAGGGAGTGGCTTCACAGAGGGAGTCAGAGCCTGGGCAGGCTGACGGGGCATTGCAGAGCAGAACCCTGAAGTGGAATGTTGGAGACTAAGCAAGGTGAGGAGGGTGTCTCCATAGGAGGTGTCAGAAGTCAGACTGGAAGAGGGTGGCATCCTTGTGGGGTGTGGTCCAGCATGTGGTGTCGAAGCCCAAGTAGGGTGTGAGCTGAGGGAGGATATGGGCAAAGGAGGTTTTGCGATGCGGAACCATTAAAATTATTAGTTTATTTAGGAGAACCATCATCTTTACAAATTGGGTTTTCCAGTCCAGATATAGTCTCTCTCTCCATTTATTAAAACCTTTTATATCCCTCAGTATATACAATATGTTACTGTAGTATTGTAATTTTATTATTTCATACTTATTGGTAAGTTTTCTAC